TCTAATTTAAAAAATAATTATAAATTGACGAAAGATGGTATATAAAGCATCCACTTTTCTACCACTTGAAAATATGTTTGACCTTTTAAAAAAAGGCAACAACAACAACAATACAAGAGCATCGAAATCCATCTGTGCGGAGACAATTCCCCTCCAGTTACATTAATAAAAAAACATGCCATAAAACACGGACACATAAGCTTTTTATACCGAACCATAAAAATCCAACAGACTCGCCGCATTTTCTGCTTTTATACTTCACAAGCCCATAAAAGTTGCAACCTCTCTCTCTCTCCCTCTCTCTCTTTTGAATGCGAATAATGTCAGATTATACCGCAAAACCACTTTTTTTTTTTGCAAAACTTAAAATCGTTGCATTGAAGATTTAAAAATTTTTGAAATTGTTAAAGTGACAAAAAAATGTACACATTTTCCACTCTCGATAGAATTTTCATAATATTCTGACAGAGAAAAAAAAATACACGAAAATTTTGATATACGATAACAAAAATCTGTATCGATATAGTGGATTGTTTTGAAAATTGTTTAGAAATAATTTAATAAATTGTGTATAGAAAATTTATGATAGTTTTCAAAGTTTTTCCCATCGAAAAGAACGTGAACTTTAAAGGCAAACTACTTGAAAAATATAAAAATCAGTGAAAAGCAAAGGTAAAAATATAGATTTGTGGACATCACAAAAGGTTCATTCATGAGTAGTGGGTTCGTTGGTATGATGTAAGAGGGTTTTTGGGGGAGAGGTTTGCAAAGCAGAGAAGCATGAGAGAGAGAGAGAGAGAGATGTATGACTCTCAGGGGAAATTTAGGTGCGATCTCCATGTATCACCAAACCTTCCGTAAGTAGGTATATACCTTCTTGCGGATACATACGAATTTTTTTTTCTTTTTTGAATAAAAAGACCTGTTCTCTATCAGATTCCAGTGGTTTGCTTTTCACAGTCCTCACTATTCTCACCTTTCTCAAATTTGTATACACAGATCCTCCAACAGAGAGAGAGAGAGAGAGAGAGAAGGAGAAATACCATTCACAATATATAAGCGTAGAATTTTATTCTTGTAAAGAATGAGAAATGAGTTGCCCCAGTGAAGGAAAACCAATACATGTGTATATACTAAAAATCAAAGTACAAAATGCATATGCAATTTATGAACATTTCAAATCAGATATGAACTTTCAAGTAGTAAATTTTAGGAAAATAAAACAGAAAAAGGCAAAAAAAAAAAAATTATTTAAAAAACTTCAAGTGTCTGACTAAAACCGATATTTACTACTGTATATATAAGGAAATAAGAATTTAAAAAACTTTGACTAAATCTTCATAGTTTACTATACTAATTTAAAAAATTGCATAAAAAAATTACAAATTAATAAACTTAATATAATTTTTTCTTCAGAAAAAAATTACTGAAATTAATTGATTCTTTTTATTCTGAGCATATACTAATTTTTTAATAAAAAAAAAAAATCCCTTTTAAAATTTTTTTTTTCCCCTCTAAAACGAAAACGTTTAACGAGAAGCAATTTAAAAATTGTATTAAAACATGATTGGCAGTTTGTATTAAAATCGATTAAATCACTCTAACGATGTATATATATATATATATATAGTTTGTGTCAGTATGTAATTTGCGATTAATTACAAAGTTCACTGTAAAATTATATTCATCCTTAATAACGCTATGCATGTGTAATATATAAAATAGAAAATTTTAATATTCCATAATTTCAATTAAAAAAATATTAGCAAAATTAAACCAATTTTGAAAATTGAAAGCAATTTAAAAAAAAAAAAACAATATTTCCAACAAAAATGTGAATATATTTCTTTCTGTATACGTCAATCAAAAAAAGCAATTTTTATTTTTCAATTGGATTACATATTGCATGATACTGATAAATTGAATTTAATTTTACAGGCCAATAACAAGACGTTTGGCATATATATATATATATATATATATATAGAAAATTAGTTTTGAAGCTTAGAAACATTAATGTCATATACTGTCAGAGTGCACAATTGTGTGTCAAGTTTACGTGTGATAGTTAAACTATACAAAAGAGTGAGGCAAGTTATTACTTGTCAACCATAAAGTAATATACCTCAGAAGCCAAGGAATATTACATGTCGGAAATTCGGAATGAGAATGAGGGTTCGTATATATGCAAGTTAGAACGAGGGTTGATCCAAAGGCGATGGACAGCTCAATTTATCTTCCTAATACCACGGGATAAAAAAATATTAAGCATCGCAGGTCTCAGTAAACATGACTTTCAAAATGATGATATTTTACTGAAAAAAAAAAAAATGAAGGAAAAGGGAAAAATATTGTCAGACATTTTTTTACAATACTATAAAAAAAAAATTGTTAACTATTTTTAAGAATATTTATTAGGCATTATGTCTTAAATTGTCTTACTGAAATAGAAATTAGAAGAATTCTGTTATGTCTGACTGTTATTGATTTTTACTACTAGTAACTAATTGCAAAGTTTATGTCTAACTGAAACTATATTTTACTACTTATAATCAAAATTTTCAGCTTTCTGTCTGACTAATACTACTTTTTACTACTTATAATCAAAATTTTCAGCTTTCCGTCTGACTAAATCCGATTCTTACTACTGATAACTTTATCAAACTGGAAAATTGTCTGACAAAAAATTACTTTTATAATTAGGCAAGGTAGGTAATAATTAGGTACTGTACAAAATTTAGTCTGACTAAACTGAGGTATGACTACTTAAAAAAATTTATAAAACTGGAAAAATGTTTTGTCTGACTATAATTGTGTTTTACTACTGAGAATTAAAAAATTATAACAATTCAAAGCATCGTGCCTGACCAAAACTGACTTTTACTACTGATATTTGCAAATTATAACAATTCAAAGCTTTCTGTCTGACCAAAACTGATTTTAACTACTAATAAAATATTTAACATTACTCTACATTATTTTTTTTATTACTATCCACCAAGGAGTATGTACTAAAAAAAAAAACTCCAAATAAATTAATATGTTTTTTTTTCTTTGAGGATTAATACATGCACAGTAATAAAAATTTATATAGTTACACTTTTTTCTTTTTTTTTTTTACAAAAGCAATAACAATATTGGTTCTGGTTCACAAGCTATTTTTGAAATTAATGAAGCTATAAACTGATCAGATATTAACAAAAGAGTTTGCTCATGCAAGCGAAGTAATTACTTTTTTTTCCATCTAGAGGTGTGTTGGAAGAAGAAGAAGAAGCGAAAAAAAATGAAAAAAAAAAAAAAAAAAAGGAAAATAGGAAAAGATTCCATGGCTGGCTTGAAACCGTAATAAAATCGATGCCCCGGATTTGCTCCGGTTTGTAATTGAATCAAATTAATCACGACCCCCTCCCCCCCTCCATCGTCTCCCCCCCTACAATTTTCGCTACCATCTCCTATTAATGGCAGAAACCCGCTGTTCCGGGTTTCGTTGAAACTTTATATATATATATATATATATATATATATATGCTGCAATTACGTTTAGCCGTTTATCAAAGAGTCAAATGCTGAAGAAAACGTTATTTCCGTTTAGCAAGCAGCTATATTAACACCTTTTTTAAAAAAAAATATATGTATATATATACATATATATATTTTTTTTATTCTTTTTTATTTTTATTTTTTATAAATTATTTTACTATTATTGTTCAATAATTATTGTTGATATAATAAAATTTTGTGATTAATTTTTTTTAATAATATTAAAAAAAAAATTTTAAATAAATAAGGAAACAATTTTTATTATTGTGGTGTATATAAACATTTTTTTTCTTTTTGTATATTTGGAAACAGTCGGGTTTAATCTTTTATAGCGACTTTATCTTGTACTTACTATTATTCCTTGACTGAACGTTGGAAAAGAGGAAGTAGCAGGTGGTTCCATTTCGTAACTAAAATGTTCACAGTCGATCACCTGCGGCCTTTTTTTTCGGTGGTGAAGGGGGATATGTAATTTTTTTAAAAGCTTCTTTCGAAACTCATTCTTCTCAATGGCAAATTTCTTTTCTAATATTTGAATTTTTTTTTCTTTTTCGTATAATAGTAGAGAAGAAAAAAATAGTATATATATACACATTTCATGGAATGATTATTCTTATTTTAATTTTATTTGTACTATAATTAATTTTATATCAATTTTGAAAAAAAAAAAAATCTGAATTCATTTTTGTTGCAGTTCAAAATCAAATCGACATAGAAAGTGGCGCCACCTACGAGGCACAATTTTTTATGTACTTTAAAATGAGTCAAATAACATAGAATATGTGGCGCCACCTATGAGGCAAAATTTTTTATGTACTTTAAAATGAGTCAAGTAACATAGAATATGTGGCGCCACCTACGAGGCACAATTTTTAATGCGTTTCAATTTGTGTTTAATTAAGAAATATTTTCAATAAATATTGAGAAAAAATAAATAAATTAAAAAGAAAATAGAAATAAATTGAAATAAAAATATAATGTGATTGAGAAATTTTAATTAATTGCAGATAATTTTGTTAAATGTTTTCGAAAGTAAATTATATTAACTTTGATTATATATATATATATATATAAGTTTTCCTTTGCGCACAACTGCGAGTAAATTAATTCTATGTATACGAGAAAGGTGACCGTCTAAAGTTGCAAGCACGTACACAAGGTTCATTTAATTTCAGAGTGAAGAAGACGACAGCATTTGCTCGACAGTTACGATGTTGATACGGTTAAGAGTAAACGACGTATGCAAATTGGAAGTCTTAAATAACAATTCAAAAATTTCGAAAGTCACTCAAAAAAAAAAAAAAATGCATTTTAATAACAAAAAATTAATTTCTTAAAAAAAAATAATTTTTAAATATTTTCCCAAAAAAAATTTAATTAATTTTTTGAAAAATTATTCCTTACTGGAAATAAAAAAAATTGTATTTTTGAAAATAATGAAAAATTCGAAAAAACTCTTCAATTTAAGTGAAGTATATTTATATTATACGAACAAGTCATATTTTATTTCATCCATTAAAATTTTGCAGTAAATGCAAGGTCCATTTTCAATTTCCGAAATATATCCGGTAGAATTACGATCCATTTTGAGAGTAATGTTCAATCAAAGCCACCGAATTGGCATCGCAATCATTGCCATAATTGCTTATACTCCAAAAGGACTGTGAAACTGGGAGAATATCACTCGAATGCTGTTGGCTGCTTTTATTATTATCATCCACATTCATCATTTATATCTGAGTAACTTCTTTTTTCTTTTTCTTCTTCTTCTTCTTCTTTTTCAAAAGTCCAAAATAGTTCTTCTATTATTCTATGTGAGTTGAATGAAGACGGGGAAAATCTTGAGAAAGTTTCACTCTTCCATGAAACATGAATATAACAAAAGTGATAATCCTTTTTTTTTTTTTTTTTTTTCTTCTTCGTACTCTTGAAAATCTTCTCCCGAGGCGTAATATGCATTTCATCAACTCTCGCGCAACATTCTTTAACTTTTCTTATCTTGTCGTGTTGCACGTGTTCGCCAACATTGTAAAATAAGTCTTCAATTGCCTGTAAATTGGTTTTTTTCAAGAATTTTAGACAAAAGTTAGAAAAAGTCAACAAATTTTTATACAGTGAAACCCATGTATATCGAATTTCAAGGAACATGATCATTAGGGTAAAAATTTTTAAAAACTAAAAATATAAAAAAATACCGACATAGAAATCTATCTTACCGACTGATGGTAAAACAGATTGAAAATATAAAAAATTACCGACACAGAAATCTACTTTACCGACTGATGGGTCCGATATACGTGGGTTTCACTGTATTTAAAGAAGGTAAACATAATCTCAAAACTGAGAAATTGTTAGAAAAAAATAATTTCTCAGTTTTTAGATTATGTTATAGAAAAATAAATTTTTTAGTATTTTCTAATAAATTTTTTAAATTATAATTTTTCGCTAATAATTTACCTTTTATTGTTAATGAGTAACTCGATAAAAAATACAATAATTGAAATTGTAAATCCCACAGCTAGAATGATAATTAATGAAAGTTCTAAAACATTTTCTTCATTTCCAAAAGAATTGCCAATAATTTCTCTCCTTCCAAGTGTAACATTTAAATAGTCATTCAACCATTTATAATATAAACCACTTTGTATTATTTTTCCCATATGACGTTCAAATTCAAAAATATATGGTGAATTTAATTCACAAATTATAAATCCAGTATCTTGTGCAATAACTTCATCAATTATTTTCACTGTTGGTAAACCATTTTTATCTAAATCTTTCCATAATTGTAATTGTGCATTTGTATCGAGCATTAAACATGCAATATTTTTATTTTTTCTTAATTCCAATATACAATCAATTTCACTTGTATAATTTTTTGATCTATCAATTAATTTTTTCATTATTTCATTGTCAGTATTATTTGAATAATAATCAATACCAGGAAATACATATGGTATTAAAGTTGATTCTTTTAAATCTTTAAGTGTATTTATTAAATCATCATTCTCTTTATTAACACTTGTCGATGTTAATATTGAATGCAATGATGATGAAAATTGCCAAAAACCAAACAATATTGTTATTAAAATTATTCTATCTGTTAATTTATTCACATCATATGGTACAGAAATTCCCAATAATAATTCTAAATAATGTAAAAATTGTAAAAATCTTTTGTCAAATTTTAAAAACCAAAGTATCAGCCAAATAAAAATGACAAATCCACAACTTAAAATTACCATGAAAATTGATGTTTGAAATGTTATTTCAAGGGATTCTTCTTTTTTTAAAATTGGTACAACAAATTTATAACCTGAAAGTAACATTGTATTTGCATTATTTGTAAAATAAAATGTTTCACCTGAATAGAAATATATAAAAATTTCACATTCATTAAAGGCAAGACATTCCATAAGAATTTTATTTGACAATTTTAATAATTTAAAATTCATTAAAGTTGAAAATGTTTCAAGTGTACGTAAATGATGATTAATTGCATTATTTTCATTAATAAAAACATTTTCTTGATAATTATCAATGTCAGTTCCATTAAACGATCCAGAAACTGCTTTCATTTCATAACCATTTAAATCTTTTAATTTTAATGGAAAAATTTTCTCTCCTTTTGTATAATTATTAAATGTATATATCCCAGTGAATTTATTGTAATAATTTATTAATATATTTCGTTGATAATTGTCAATTGATAATAATCCTTTTGATTTATTTAATTTTTGAAATTGTAAAATTGTTAAATCAAACAATAACATTTCCCATGCTCTTTTAAGTAAAAATTTACGTTCATCAATATAATTACTTAATAAAATCATAAGACATCTAGGATAGGTATAACTTAAAGTTATTTGTTTTATATAATTAAATATGTTATCCGTATCATATTTATTGGTAAATTCAAAGATAATGATAAAAAGTGTAGTTTGATAAAGACTTCTTGAAGTAATTGTTGATTGAAATAATTTCTTTTTAGAATCTATTATATAGTTAATCACTTTACTTGGTGTGTCCTTTAAGGCAATTGGCGTTATTTCATTTAGAATTTCAATACTCTTTTCTTTTCCATCATGCATTATTATTGTCTGATATGGTTCAAATTCATTTTCCCTTATTTGTTTAATAATATCATCTAATAACACTGATTCTTGTGAAGATATTTGAAAAAATAGAAAAATAAAAAGATGAATTGTTGATAATTCTACTATCATTTTAGTACAATTTTTTTTTTAGTTATTTACAATTTATTTAATTGTTAGAAATTAACATTTTTTTTACCACTAGAACAACATCACGTACCAAGCACAGTTAAAAAGTGACTGATTCTTTATACTAATTCGATAAAATCTAGTTGAGTCATTTCCCCATTCTAGAAATTATTTCATAAACGTTGAACAGAACCCTTACAAGTTCATAAGGTTAATGCAATTATATTAAAATAATGGTCTTTTTTTAATACTCATTAAAATAGTTTCAATCAATTGATTTTCTTGTAATTTTCATAAAAATTGTTTTTTTGAATTATTCATTATAGAGAAAATTACTTATCAATAAATTATTAACTAACTAGGAAAATTAAACACGCGCAAGCGCGCGAACTTAACCGTTCCTTTGTTTGTTGTTGTTACTAATTAAACCTAAATTGCAATAGAATAAGAAAAATCAATTTTATTCGATTTTTTTTGATAGAATGTTTTCCTGGAAAATGAAAAAATTCGAAAAAAATTCAAATAAAATTAATCAGCATGTCTCTATTTTTTTTTACCTTAACACAACACGTAATAACCTTCAAAAAAACCTACCAATTGAACCTAAATTGCAGTAGACTAAGAATAATCAATTTTATTCCATTTTTTTGAATAGAATGTTTTCCTGGAAAATGAAAAAATTCGAAAAAAATTCGAATAAAATTAATCAGCATGTCTCTATTTTTTTTACCTTAACACAACACGTAATAACCTTCAAAAAAACCTACCAATTGAACCTAAATTGCAGTAGACTAAGAATAATCAATTTTATTCCATTTTTTGAAATAGAATGTTTTCCTGGAAAATGCAAAAATTCGAAAAAAATTCAAATAAAATTAATCAGCATGTCTCTATTTTTTTTTACCTTAACACAACACGTAATAACCTTTAGAAAAACCTACCAATTGAACCTAAATTGCAGTAGACTAAGAATAATCAATTTTATTCCATTTTTTTGAGTAGAATGTTTTCCTGGAAAATGAAAAAATTCGAAAAAAATTCAAATAAAATTAATCAGCATGTCTCTATATTTTTTTTTACCTTAAAACAACACGTAATAACCTTCAATAAAACCTACCAATTGAACCTAAATTGCAGTAGACTAAGAATAATCAATTTTATTCCATTTTTTGAAATAGAATGCTTTCCTGGAAAATGAAAAAATTCGAAAAAAATTCAAATAAAATTAATCAGCATGTCTCTATTTTTTTTTACCTTAACACAACACGTAATAACCTTCAAAAAAACCTACCAATTGAACCTAAATTGCAGTAGACTAAGAATAATCAATTTTATTCCATTTTTTTGAATAGAATGTTTTCCTGGAAAATGAAAAAATTCGAAAAAAATTCGAATAAAATTAATCAGCATGTCTCTATTTTTTTTACCTTAACACAACACGTAATAACCTTCAAAAAAACCTACCAATTGAACCTAAATTGCAGTAGACTAAGAATAATCAATTTTATTCCATTTTTTGAAATAGAATGTTTTCCTGGAAAATGCAAAAATTCGAAAAAAATTCAAATAAAATTAATCAGCATGTCTCTATTTTTTTTTACCTTAACACAACACGTAATAACCTTTAGAAAAACCTACCAATTGAACCTAAATTGCAGTAGACTAAGAATAATCAATTTTATTCCATTTTTTTGAGTAGAATGTTTTCCTGGAAAATGAAAAAATTCGAAAAAAATTCAAATAAAATTAATCAGCATGTCTCTATATTTTTTTTTACCTTAAAACAACACGTAATAACCTTCAATAAAACCTACCAATTGAACCTAAATTGCAGTAGACTAAGAATAATCAATTTTATTCCATTTTTTGAAATAGAATGCTTTCCTGGAAAATGAAAAAATTCGAAAAAAATTCAAATAAAATTAATCAGCATGTCTCTATTTTTTTTTACCTTAACACAACACGTAATAACCTTCAAAAAAACCTACCAATTGAACCTAAATTGCAGTAGACTAAGAATAATCAATTTTATTCCATTTTTTTGAATAGAATGTTTTCCTGGAAAATGAAAAAATTCGAAAAAAATTCGAATAAAATTAATCAGCATGTCTCTATTTTTTTTACCTTAACACAACACGTAATAACCTTCAAAAAAACCTACCAATTGAACCTAAATTGCAGTAGACTAAGAATAATCAATTTTATTCCATTTTTTGAAATAGAATGTTTTCCTGGAAAATGCAAAAATTCGAAAAAAATTCAAATAAAATTAATCAGCATGTCTCTATTTTTTTTTACCTTAACACAACACGTAATAACCTTTAGAAAAACCTACCAATTGAACCTAAATTGCAGTAGACTAAGAATAATCAATTTTATTCCATTTTTTTGAGTAGAATGTTTTCCTGGAAAATGAAAAAATTCGAAAAAAATTCAAATAAAATTAATCAGCATGTCTCTATATTTTTTTTTACCTTAAAACAACACGTAATAACCTTCAATAAAACCTACCAATTGAACCTAAATTGCAGTAGACTAAGAATAATCAATTTTATTCCATTTTTTGAAATAGAATGCTTTCCTGGAAAATGAAAAAATTCGAAAAAAATTCAAATAAAATTAATCAGCATGTCTCTATTTTTTTTTACCTTAACACAACACGTAATAACCTTCAAAAAAACCTACCAATTAAACCTAAATTGCAGTAGACTAAGAATAATCAATTTTATTTCATTTTTTTGAATAGAATGTTTTCCTGGAAAATGAAAAAATTCCATACATATTCAAATAAAATTAATCAGCATGACTCTATTTTTTTTTTACCTTAACACAACACGTAATAACCTTCAAAAAAAAACATACCAATTGAACCTAAATTGCAGTAGACTAAGAATAATCAATTTTATTCCATTTTTTGAAATAGAATGTTTTCCTGGAAAATGAAAAAATTCAAAAAAAAAATCAAATAAAATTAAACAGCATGTCTCTATTTTTTTTTACCTTAAAACAACACGTAATAACCTTCAAAAAAACCTACCAATTGAACCTAAATTGCAGTAGACTAAGAATAATCAATTTTATTTCATTTTTTTGAATAGAATGTTTTCCTGGAAAATGAAAAAATTCCATACATATTCAAAAATAATTAATCAGCATGTCTCTATTATTTTTTTACCTTATAACAACACGTAATAACCTTCAAAAAAACCTACCAATTGAACCTAAATTGCAGTAGACTAAGAATAATCAATTTTATTTCATTTTTTTGAATAGAATGTTTTCCTGGAAAATGAAAAAATTCCATACATATTCAAAAATAATTAATCAGCATGTCTCTATTATTTTTTTACCTTATAACAACACGTAATAACCTTCAAAAAAACCTACCAATTGAACCTAAATTGCAGTAGACTAAGAATAATCAATTTTATTTCATTTTTTTGAATAGAATGTTTTCCTGGAAAATGAAAAAATTCCATACATATTCAAAAATAATTAATCAGCATGTCTCTATTATTTTTTTACCTTATAACAACACGTAATAACCTTCAAAAAAACCTACCAATTGAACCTAAATTGCAGTAGACTAAGAATAATCAATTTTATTTCATTTTTTTGAATAGAATGTTTTCCTGGAAAATGAAAAAATTCCATACATATTCAAAAATAATTAATCAGCATGTCTCTATTATTTTTTTACCTTATAACAACACGTAATAACCTTCAAAAAAACCTACCAATTGAACCTAAATTGCAGTAGACTAAGAATAATCAATTTTATTTCATTTTTTTGAATAGAATGTTTTCCTGGAAAATGAAAAAATTCGAAAAAAATTCAAATAAAGTTAATCAGCATGTCTCTATTATTTTTTTACCTTAAAAAAACACATAATAACCTTCAAAAAAACCTACCAATTGAACCTAAATTGCAGTAGACTAAGAATAATCAATTTTATTTCATTTTTTTGAATAGAATGTTTTCCTGGAAAATGAAAAAATTCTATACATATTCAAAAAAAATTAATCAGCATGTCTCTATTATTTTTTTACCTTAAAACAACACGTAATAACCTTCAAAAAAACCTAATAATTGAACCTAAATTGCAGTAGACTAAGAATAATCAATTTTATTCCATTTTTTTGAATACAATGTTTTCCTGGAAAATGAAAAAATTCGAAAAAAATTCAAATAAAATTAATCAGCATGTCTCTATTATTTTTTTACTTTAAAACAACACGTAATAACCTTCAAAAAAAACCTACCAATTGAACCTAAATTGCAGTAGACTAAGAATAATCAATTTTATTCCATTTTTTTGAGTAGAATGTTTTCCTGGAAAATGAAAAAATTCTATACATATTCAAAAAAAATTAATCAGCATGTCTCTTTTTTTTTTTACCTTAAAACAACACGTAATAACCTTCAAAAAAACCTAACAATTGAACCTAAATTGCAGTAAACTAAGAATAATCAATTTTATTCCATTTTTTTGTATAGAATGTTTTCCTGGAAAATGAAAAAAATCCTTACAAATTCAAAAAAAATTAATCAGCATGTCTCTATTTTTTTTTACCTTAACACAACACGTAATAACCTTCAAAAAAACCTACCAATTAAACCTAAATTGCAGTAGACTAAGAATAATCAATTTTATTTCATTTTTTTGAATAGAATGTTTTTCTGGAAAATGAAAAAATTCCATACATATTCAAATAAAATTAATCAGCATGTCTCTATTTTTTTTTACCTTAACACAACACGTAATAACCTTCAAAAAAAACATACCAATTGAACCTAAATTGCAGTAGACTAAGAATAATCAATTTTATTCCATTTTTTGAAATAGAATGTTTTCCTGGAAAATGAAAAAATTCAAAAAAAAAATCAAATAAAATTAAACAGCATGTCTCTATTTTTTTTTACCTTAAAACAACACGTAATAACCTTCAAAAAAACCTACCAATTGAACCTAAATTGCAGTAGACTAAGAATAATCAATTTTATTTCATTTTTTTGAATAGAATGTTTTCCTGGAAAATGAAAAAATTCCATACATATTCAAAAATAATTAATCAGCATGTCTCTATTATTTTTTTACCTTATAACAACACGTAATAACCTTCAAAAAAACCTACCAATTGAACCTAAATTGCAGTAGACTAAGAATAATCAATTTTATTTCATTTTTTTGAATAGAATGTTTTCCTGGAAAATGAAAAAATTCGAAAAAAATTCAAATAAAATTAATCAGCATGTCTCTATTATTTTTTTACTTTAAAACAACACGTAATAACCTTCAAAAAAAACCTACCAATTGAACCTAAATTGCAGTAGACTAAGAATAATCAATTTTATTCCATTTTTTTGAGTAGAATGTTTTCCTGGAAAATGAAAAAATTCTATACATATTCAAAAAAAATTAATCAGCATGTCTCTTTTTTTTTTTTACCTTAAAACAACACGTAATAACCTTCAAAAAAACCTAACAATTGAACCTAAATTGCAGTAAACTAAGAATAATCAATTTTATTCCATTTTTTTGTATAGAATGTTTTCCTGGAAAATGAAAAAAATCCTTACAAATTCAAAAAAAATTAATCAGCATGTCTCTATTTTTTTTACCTTAACACAACACGTAATAACCTTCAAAAAAACCTACCAATTGAACCTAAATTGCAGTAGACTAAGAATAATCAATTTTATTTCATTTTTTTGAATAGAATGTTTTCCTGGAAAATGAAAAAATTCTATACATATTCAAAAAAAATTAATCAGCATGTCTCTATTATTTTTTTACCTTAAAACAACACGTAATAACCTTCAAAAAAACCTAATAATTGAACCTAAATTGCAGTAGACTAAGAATAATCAATTTTATTCCATTTTTTTGAATAGAATGTTTTCCTGGAAAATGAAAAAATTCGAAAAAAATTAAAATAAAATTAATCAGCATGTCTCTTTTAGTTTTTTACCTTAAAACAACACGTAATAACCTTCAAAAAAACCTACCAATTGAACCTAAATTGCAGTAGACTAAGAATAATCAATTTTATTCCATTTTTTTGAATAGAATGTTTTCCTGGAAAATGAAAAAATTCGAAAAAAATTAAAATAAAATTAATCAGCATGTCTCTTTTAGTTTTTTACCTTAAAACAACACGTAATAACCTTCAAAAAAACCTACCAATTGAACCTAAATTGCAGTAGACTAAGAATAATCAATTTTATTTCATTTTTTTGAATAGAATGTTTTCCTGGAAAATGAAAAAATTCTATACATATTCAAAAAAAATTAATCAGCATGTCTCTATTATTTTTTTACCTTAAAACAACACGTAATAACCTTTAAAAAAACCTAATAATTGAACCTAAATTGCAGTAGACTAAGAATAATCAATTTTATTCCATTTTTTTGTATAGAATTTTTTCCTGGAAAATGAAAAAAATCCTTACAAATTCAAAAAAAATTAATCAGCATGTCTCTATTATTTTTTTACCTTAAAACAAAACGTAATAACCTTCAAAAAAACCTACCAATTGAACCTAAATTGCAGTAGACTAAGAATAATCAATTTTATTCCATTTTTTTGAATAGAATGTTTTCCTGGAAAATGAAAAAATTCGAAAAAAATTAAAATAAAATTAATCAGCATGTCTCTTTTAGTTTTTTACTTTAAAACAACACGTAATAACCTTCAAAAAAACCTACCAATTGAACCTAAATTGCAGTAGACTAAGAATAATCAATTTTATTTCATTTTTTTGAATAGAATGTTTTCCTGGAAAATGAAAAAATTCTATACATATTCAAAAAAAATTAATCAGCATGTCTCTATTATTTTTTTACCTTAAAACAACACGTAATAACCTTTAAAAAAACCTAATAATTGAACCTAAATTGCAGTAGACTAAGAATAATCAATTTTATTCCATTTTTTTGTATAGAATTTTTTCCTGGAAAATGAAAAAAATCCTTACAAATTCAAAAAAAATTAATCAGCATGTCTCTATTATTTTTTTACCTTAAAACAAAACGTAATAACCTTCAAAAAAACCTACCAATTGAACCTAAATTGCAGTAGACTAAGAATAATCAATTTTATTTCATTTTTTTGAATAGAATGTTTTCCTGGAAAATGAAAAAATTCTATACATATTCAAAAAAAATTAATCAGCATGTCTCTATTATTTTTTTACCTTAAAACAACACGTAATAACCTTTAAAAAAACCTAATAATTGAACCTAAATTGCAGTAGACTAAGAATAATCAATTTTATTCCATTTTTTTGTATAGAATTTTTTCCTGGAAAATGAAAAAAATCCTTACAAATTCAAAAAAAATTAATCAGCATGTCTCTATTATTTTTTTACCTTAAAACAAAACGTAATAACCTTCAAAAAAACCTACCAATTGAACCTAAATTGCAGTAGACTAAGAATAATCAATTTTATTCCATTTTTTTGAATAGAATGTTTTCCTGGAAAATGAAAAAATTCGAAAAAAATTAAAATAAAATTAATCAGCATGTCTCTTTTAGTTTTTTACTTTAAAACAACACGTAATAACCTTCAAAAAAACCTACCAATTGAACCTAAATTGCAGTAGACTAAGAATAATCAATTTTATTTCATTTTTTTGAATAGAATGTTTTCCTGGAAAATGAAAAAATTCTATACATATTCAAAAAAAATTAATCAGCATGTCTCTATTATTTTTTTACCTTAAAACAACACGTAATAACCTTTAAAAAAACCTAATAATTGAACCTAAATTGCAGTAGACTAAGAATAATCAATTTTATTCCATTTTTTTGTATAGAATTTTTTCCTGGAAAATGAAAAAAATCCTTACAAATTCAAAAAAAATTAATCAGCATGTCTCTATTATTTTTTTACCTTAAAACAAAACGTAATAACCTTCAAAAAAACCTACCAATTGAACCTAAATTGCAGTAGACTAAGAATAATCAATTTTATTTCATTTTTTTGAATAGAATGTTTTCCTGGAAAATGAAAAAATTCTATACATATTCAAAAAAAATTAATCAGCATGTCTCTATTATTTTTTTACCTTTTGTACCTTTAAAATACCTTCAAAAAAACCTACCAATTGAACCTAAATTGCAGTAGACTAAGAATAATCAATTTTATTTCATTTTTTTGAATAGAATGTTTTCCTGGAAAATGAAAAAAATCCTTACAAATTCAAAAAAAATTAATCAGCATGTCTAATTATAAATTTTTGAAAATTTAAAAGCAAAATATAAAAAATTCAAGGACAAAAATTAAAATTCTAGGACTTTTAAGGACATTTTTTCAAATTCCAGGTCATTTCCACGACTTCCAGGACTAGTAGACAGCCTGTACACAATCTAATGGTTAGTAATAAAATATTTCATCATTTTTTTTTGTATTTATTTATTACATTTTCCTCCATTAAATAAATTAGATAATTGAAAAAAATATTCCAATAATAAAATTTCTTAATATATTTAACCTATTTATTTATATTTTTTTTGTTTTTAATTAAAAAAAAAGAGAAAAAGTACAATTTCATGACACATAAATTACAACATACCATATTTATATATACTTTTCCATTAACAATTTGAACGTAACGGAAATTTTTTTCTCCAAACAAAATACTAAATAAGTCTTGGCTTATCGACATATTGTTTGCCATGATGAACAATTGTTGCAAATGTTCCAGCGACCATACCACCCCAAAATAACATATAAAGTAAAACTTCAGTTGTATATCTTGATGGTAGAATAATATGTGCAACTAACATTGCCGACGCCACTAATAATACAAGTGGGAATGTTGCGTAACGCCAATTTCTTTCAGATTCAAGTGGACATTTTCTCGATGAACATTCATCGTCCTGAATTACATAACGTCCCAAAAAGAGTTCAATCGAATCCTTAAAAGAATGTGAAATATTTTAATTTTTGTTCTCCTTTTTTTAAAATTTTAATAAATTCATTAATTTTATCACCTACTTGTCGATAACCATCAGCAAAATTATTTTTATAATATCTTGTCATTGAATTTATACCATCTTTAATTGCCCCAAGTTTTGTACGTTTTCCCGTACGTGTAAAATCTGTTTTCAATGCACTTGTACCAGAATATTCTATACTTATTATATCCGCATTATCGGCCCATACCTGAAATTAATAAGATTTGTTTATTTTTTTCCCCCACTTTAACAAAAGTGGAATTGTTCTGGCAACTATTTAATAATTATAAAATTATACTTGTTTAAACATATTTTCCAATTGTGGATGTTCCTCAACGCTTCTCAGGACTTTTAATTTACATAATGCATCTGAAAGTACTCTTTTTGCCAACATACTTTGAACAACATTTGTACGATCCAAACAATCAATGCAATTTGTACGAAAAACGCCATCCTGCACTGAGAGTAATGCACTATTTCTTGTTAATAAAAAATAACCAATTTGTTCACGATCATGAGCCAAACGATCCATTAATATTGTCAATCGATCCCAACGCATTTTTCTACATTCCGCATGAAAATCAAATGATTCAAGTCGTACATTTTGATTTCCTATTCGATTAACAATATCACGATATGCCCTCTCTAATTCACCCTCTGCTCCATTGTGATCGATCTGTTCAAAAAAAAAAGAAAATTATCATTTCCAAATTATTCGACTTGGTAAATGAAAAAGAAAAAAAAAATTACCAAATTAACTAAAATCTGTTTTCCATAATGAAATATCTGTGCTTCAAAATGTCTTGTACATGCTGTTTGATGATCTTCATGTGGAATTAATTGTGGTTTTGGTTTGTACTTGAGATTTGGTGCTTGTTGCCAAAATAATGGAATTGATCCACGAGTTTGTACAAAGGAACTTCGATCACCGTTCACTTCAATTAATTGCTCTGTTTCAACGTAATTTGAAACATTACCATTTCCATCTATACCACGTGAAAATAATCTCGTACCAGCACGTTGAATACTCCGTCGTGAAACAATTCCCCAATTAAATGCAATGCCATTTATCACAATTGTGTTCAATGAAACAACTGTTTTTTTTTCATGTTAAGGTTTTCTTTCCGTTTTTTCAAAAAAAAATAGTCAAAATAAACAAAGAATTCTCCCATCAGTCCTTAATTTGTAATGTCTGTACACACATTTTACTAACCAAAACGCATGTTTCTTATTTTTTTTGATGATCAGATGTAATATAAAAAAATTATTTTTATTAATATTTAAATAGTTTTTTTCGAAATTTAAAGTCGACGCTCAAGAAGTTAAATTATTTTTTATTGAAAAGAATTTGATTCAACTATTTCAAAGAATTAAAAACTGGGGACAAAATCTGTTTTACTATTCGTCGGTAATGTAGATTTCACGTTTTTCGAGGCAAGATAAAGCAATATTTTTCACAAATTGAAAACTATTTCACGAATAGTTAATATTTCCCTCCGAGAGTTAAATATATACAATTTTTTCCGTAAAGAAATTAAAATGACAATTTTTTTTTTTTTCATTAAAGGATACAGCCATGAATAATTGGCAAGCAAAATTTATGCTGCTCTGGCCTCGATGTTAATTCTTGTAACATATATGCATTCCACACAAATCGAGGATCAGCTCTATCGTAAAGTGGCATCTAAAATAAAGAAAAAAAAAGAAAAATATTAATAATTAATTTAATTAATTTTGTTAATTGTAGAAAAAGAAAAATTTACTTGTAAAAATTCTGGATTCGTATTATGTAATCTTTGCATTGTATGACTGAGATCATATGTATAACTAAAATAAAAATGTGGTGTATTTAATACATTTCTAATCATTTCTAAATATGTGGCATTATTTTGCTTTTGTCGTTCATTTAAATGAAGTAACGATCTTGCATAGGGTATAATTTCAGTTGAAATTATTTTGAAAATTTGTTGTCCCGCTATTGTACCAATAGTTTCTGCGCTTGTTATTACAATTAAATAACGTGATGCTAATAGCCTTATTGTACCCACGATACCCCATATTTTTCGTCTACTCGCCGTTTGGGGAATTTGACTCGCAGTACCAGCTGAAAATTAAAAATTTTTTTTTAATTAATTTTTTTTTAAAAACTTAAATTTTTTTAATGATATTTACCCTGTGTGTAAATTTGTTGACTAACTCTATCAACTACAAGTAATACTTTTGTTCCTACTGGTTCTATGTAAAATTTTTCAGGAGTCGCGTACCTAGAAATAAAAAAAAAAAAACAAAAAATTTCTAAAATTAGAATATAAAAATTAATACAAGAAATTAATTAATTATTAATTATATCTTTTTTAGAAGTAATTAACAAATGAATAGATTCATTGATAATTCTAACACAATTAATAATTATTCCATTTATTAAAAATAAAAAACAATGATTCAATTATAATATTTTTCAAATAAAAAAAAATTAATTTAAAATTAAACATGACATTCAAAAAATTTGCATATAGAAATTATATATAAAATATATACTTACAAGTACAAATCATCGTAAACATCAGTATTTATCGTCATTTTTGCTGATTGTAATGTTAAAGTTGAAATTATTAATTACAGAGATATTTATTAAAAGATTGAAGAACAATTTTACGTAGGTAGCACAGATAAAAATTTTATAGATTAATTTACATATATATATATATAGAAAATCTAACACTTTTTTGATAACTAAATTATAATAAAAAAAAAAAAAAATTGTCAACTGGTGTAAATTGCCATTGTAAAATTATTATTAAATTTTAAAAAAATTGAAAATTTATATAAAAGAAATTAAATAATATACACACACAGACAGCATTTAAAATCAACTGACGATGAAAACTGTCATACGTGAATCTGACATTTTGATGACGTAATATTAATGTTAGGTTAGAACGCGAGTAACGACATCTGTAATAGAAAAATCACTAGAGAAACATTTATTTTTAGGAATAGTATTTATTAATTAGAATTTTTTAATATTATTTTATAGTAGCTTTTCAATTATTTATCACGAATTTTTTTTTTTACTTATTGAATAAATATAGTTTAAAATATTTTCAATTATCATTGAAATAACAAGGTAAAAGAACCGTTGGGGATAATGTATCAACTGACATGAATTTAACTTCAGTTGGTAACGTTCTCGTATCAAGCTAGAAGTGTATCTATCGGTATAGTAGTTTTGTTTTGACTTTAACTGTCATTTAATACTTTTATTCCACAGTGCGAAGGTTGACGAAGGTAAGCAATAATTATATCATATTATTACTTATTATTGTCATGAAATAGTATATTTTCAAGGAAGATAGAAAATAAAAATGTATATAATTTAATTCTTTTGATTTCAGGTGCAATGGAAAGATTATTTTTATCTACGCCAATTAAGTAACTTGAATTTAGAAAACCAAATCGTAATATTATCAAAAAGTATTCATTTTCCTTTCTATCATATGAAAATCCGCATCAACTTATTTAAGGCCTAAGCAGAATAGATTCTTGAACGGGAACGCAATCGTAAACGGAAACGTAAGAATGAGTAAGAGAAGGATAGTGAATATTTTTATTCTTCTCTCACCCATTTTTACGTTTCCGTTCACGATTGCGTTCCCCAGTTCAAGAATCTATTCTGCTTAGGCCTTTACTGGTATTGGGAATATCAAAAATGAAATATGATTCTTACTTGAAACAATAAATATAGACATGTAATTTAAAACAATAATTTATTATATTTCGTAAATAACTATCTTATAACGATGTATAATTTTAATTATAATGGACAGGTTATTGCATCTTTATTTAAATACCGCGTTACAGTTTTTTTTTAACATTTTTATCTATAGCTTAATATCAACATTGTTGAGCGATATACTAAATAATACAGTTTTGACTCTGGATGAGCATTTTTTTTTTTTCACTAATTGAAACTTTTTATAAAAGATTTCCTTCCTTTTTTTGACAAAAATAGAAATTTTACTTTTTTTTTGAAAAATAATTGACGCTAAAAATCGCTAAGATGTATATAAATCGTTAAACTTAACGCTGATTAAAAAAATGTTAAAGATAGTTTACAAAATATATGTCAAGTTAATTAGAATTAAATAAACCGTAATTTTTAAACTAAAAAATTAACCAAAAATAACTGTAATATAAAAATAAGAATAATTATAATAATTACAATAATAATTGTATTAATTGTTAATAGTAATAGTATAAAATAATAGTAATAGTAATAGTAATAATCATTAAAATTAATAATAATGATGATAATTATTATTGTATAGAAATTTAATAATAAACATTATAAATATTATAAACCATAACCTTCTATTGAACAATTGCATAATACTTTCATAAAACAAAGCCTTAAATTTACGTTGAATTAACTTTTTTTTTAATTTAAAATTTAAAAAACAGTATATGTACAAAAAAACATTGATCATTTCGATCAGAGATAAAAATTTCATTTTAAAAAAATTTTACAATACATTTTACATAAATACAAAATGTTAATTATTGGTAAAAGTTGCATTAAAAACATTTTTTTTTTTTTATGAAACTTTCCAAATGTTTGAGCTCAATTTTTTATATATGAAAATTTGTAATTATTGATTACAATTTTTCATATATATTGATATTTTTTATATTTGTTTATAGGAAGACAGAATATGTACAATTGAATTATTTTTACAAATTCTCATCTGAACTTGACAAATCAAAATTAATTTTTTTTTTTTTTTTAAATTATAGGGATTATTTTCTTATTAAAATTTGCTAAAATTATATGTTATATATACAAATAATTAGGAATATTAAATTAAATTTAGGAAAAAAAATTTTTACGACTCAGAATCATTGATCTGTTCAGTATAAACTTTGTCAGAATGAATATTTTCCATATTAATAGTATTTGTTTCTTGATTTTCATATTTTTCATTAACATCAACAGTGATTTCATCATTTTCATTGATTTGATGAATTTCCTCTTTTACTGTTATTTTCTCGTGAATTTCTTTATCGTGTTCTTGAATACCATTCTCAATTTTTTTTACATCTTTTGGTGATGGAACACGCGCAGAATGAAAAACACCCACATGCTGATCAAGTTCGGCTCGAAAGAAAAATTTTAATTCACAATTGTTACAGTCGTATGGACGAGCTCCCAATCCATGTTGTTGGAGCATATGATTCTGTAAAGAAGATAATTCAATTAGAAGAATTGGAATTAGAATTTTTAGGTATAGAATTTAGTTTATTTTAATTTTGAAATTACCTGAAGTCCAATGGGTGCTGTAAATAATGACTGACAAATATAGCAACTTAATGCAGTACATCCGGCAAAAGTATGCTCTATTAGATGACTTTGCAATTGTAGTGGACTATTGGCATCAAATAAACAAAGATGACAACGTAATGCTTCCAATGATTCTTTTCCCGATGATTCGAGATGTTCTTTCTTTACATGTTCCTGAATTTTAGCTTCCGTTGGAAAAGACACCTGTAATTATTTCGTATTTGTAATGTCGTTAAATTGTAAATTAATTATATAGATTAGTAATAAATACCTGGCATTGTATACACGTGTATGTACCCAAGGGTTTATGTTCTTCAATTCGATGTTTTTCAGCTTCATCTGAATCTTCAAATTTGATATTACATTCTTCACATCTCATTACATCGTTTGTACCAACATCAGATGTTTTTTCTTCAATTTTGTAATTTCCATTCCATTTTTCCCTAGAAGCATTTTCCCATTGTGTCTCCTTTAACCATAATTCGCTTTTTGATCTTGGATGTCCGTAGTTTAATATTGGAAGACCTTGTGAATGCCTCATGTAACATGCTTTACAAACAAATAGAAGAGAATTAGCTGAATTAGTTGAATGATTTGATGGTAAACTAACAAATTCCTCGGCATTAAATTCCCTGAGACAAAGACAACAATTGTGAGTTGATGATTTATTGTGTTTTGGACTTGGACTTTCGGAATTTTGGGATCCTGAATTTGATCTTAAATGATGCCTGGCGTGTAGTCTCACTTCAAGATCACTAATTAATGTTTGTCTACATACAACGCAAGGTGCCGGCAAATGTGGAAGTGTACTATCCAATCTCTGTTGTGGATCAACATTCTCCAAACTGTGTCTTTGAACATGTTCAAAAAATTGTGATTCCGAATGTAATGTACCACGACAAACAATGCAGATATCACTTAATTGTATTTTACAATGTTTCTGAAGTTTATGTTCAGCGAGTGTTGCACCTGATGGACAGACTTCATCACAAATATTACATTTATGACGACCACCATGCTCATTGGTTGCATGCTGTATTCTAGTATGTGATTCTAATTCACTACGCGAACGACAAACTTCACCGCAATAGGCACAAGTCATACTTAATGATGACATTGATTTTCCCTGAACTTTAGATGGTGTATGAGCTAATTTTTTGTGTGCTTGAAGTTCGGCATCATTTGTAAATTCACCACGTTCACAAAGTTCACATTGTTGAACAGTTCCATAATTTGGTCTCTTATTGTTGTCACGTTGATTTAGTGAATTATTATTACTCGACGCTGGTGAACGACCACGTTTTGTTCTTTGTTCTCTATTTGTCTCGGAATTAACATCCTCCTGTGATCTCGATGGACGATGAATTCGACCATTTTCCCTTGTATGATTGGAATGATGAACCTGTGCAATATGACGATCGAGAAGAAATTCAACGGCAAAACCCTCACGACATATAGGACATCTGTATAAATTTGTCGAATGACTTGCCATATGAAGTTGAAGATCTAAATCTGAATTACAACAAATTCCACAAAAAACACATCTATTTGTGATACCTGGAGTTGAGGCAGGACTTCGTGGTAATGGACTTTCATTAACATGGGACGGAGGTGCGTGTACTGTTCTTACATGATTTGCCATTTCGGCTTCACTTCTGAAGAAATTCATATTTTCCACTGGTGCATTGCCAGGGGAATTTTCGTTGTTTATTGAACAAACATTACAGCGATAGATACGACACTCTTGACTATGTTTAACGGCAAAATGAACTTGTATAGCTACACGAGAATCAAAAGTATCTCTACAAAGTGCACAACGATATAAATGATGTGCGTGTGAATCGAGTAAATGCCGTTGAAGAAGATCAGGATGGGGGTATAATTTTTTACAAGCATTACAAGCATATTCCTTAGTGACTTGTCCTAAAAAGTGTTTTGTCAAATGCACCATCATTTCTTCTCTATCTGAAAAATTGGCCTCACATTTTGGACATTGATTACGTGGTGTTTCATTTTTTTGATCTGCTTTAAGATGTCTCGCTAAATGTTCTCTAAATGATTCAAAATCTTTTAATGCTGCTCCACATTGTCCACATAAAAGTGTTCCGGCTGAATAATTTTCATTCGGTTTCAAATTTTTATTTGTTAAATCGGCGGGTTCAAAATCTTTGGCAATTTTTGCTCTTGTTTGTTTGATATCGTAAGATCCATTTAATTTTGGATCACCATATTCACGTGCCTCAGATAATCTTCTATCTTCACAATGATGAAGTACATAGTGCTCAGCGTATGCTGCTGCTGATGAACATGGAATTCCACATAGTGGACAAATCATCAATGATCCTAATCCATCGACACGATGAATTGATATTAAATGTTCTCGTAATAAATTAGGTGATGCGAATTTCATTGTACATTGACCGCAAGTGAGTGATGATTCATATAAATCTTTCTCCTGTAGGGAATTTCTATCATCGGGAAATTTTTTTGCATAAAATATAACTTCTCTATTTCTGTCAATTTTTTGATGATTTGATAATTCGGCAGTTTGACCTGGTGATGGCATTAGATTTTCTCCACTTAAAATTGCTTGATGCATTGTATGAACATGAAGTTGAAGTTGTTGCATACTGGTGAAGGAATCACGTGTACAATACATGCATGTTAATTTCAAAGGTGATAAAATTGGTGTTGTTGAGGCACTTGCCTGTGATTTTATTGATTTATGATTAAGTGTTAAATTTAAATTCGGTGATGGTGAATTTGGAATTGGAGGTGATGCTGTACTATGGGATGATACACTTCGACGACCAAAATCCATTTCTAATTTTGATCCTTGGGTATTTTGATGTCTTTTATGTGATTGCATGTGAGATGTTAGAGCAGCTGCTGTATTATATCCTCGGGAACATGATGTACATTGAAATGGCTTCTGTGTGTCATGGGTTTTCATGTGAATTTTCAAATGATCACTGAAACAAGAGAATTTTTTTTTTTAATATTTCATAGTTTTTTTTTTGTATAATATTTAATAAATTCTAAGACACAGTAGAATATATTTAATGGAATGAATGTCTGAGTGATCGATAAATATTTTAACGATTCAGTGCAAAAATAAAGTCCGTAAGACGAAGACCAGTATAAATAAATCACTGAAATGAAGATGGACAGATATTTTTGCCTTGCACTTTTTATTTGAATAATTCAATTTATTCGGCGAGCATTACTGGACTGAGGAGATTTAAAGCTTTAATGGATTTGGGTTATTTTAGTTGGTTTATTTAAATTCCAATCAATAAAGTGTTTTGTAATATTTTCAGTTTAGTAGTTAAAAATTTTTTTTTTGTTAGAATTCTAGTCTTTAGATAGAAAAACTGATCTTTCTCATGCTTTAAATATCATTAACGTCACGTTTTTGACCTATGGTTCGATGCTGAGATCGTTCGTTCTTTTTTTTAAGAAAACGACGCCATTGGAAAAAAGTATACTGGACGAAAAATGGACCCAGAAATAAAGGGATGGAGAGAAAAAGAGAGTGCTTCATTGCGCGTGGGAGGGTTCGAAACAAAAGCCCTAGATGGAAGGGTGGTACGTCGTGGGAAACGAATTCGTTCCCTTTTCAACATATCAACACTGGGTGGAGTTACAACTTCCTATTTGCTTGCTCCAATTTCCTCTTCTTCCTCCGTTAAAAAAAATATATTTATATCTTTAGTGAAGAAAAAAGAATAGTTTTGATGATTTTTATTTTATTCTCCATTTTTTTTAAAATCAAGTTTTGATGAAAAAATAAATACAGTTCGACGAGGAAAGATTTACTTCGAGATTTAAAGATGTGCGTGAGCTGAAGAAAATTTATTTCCTCCATTAGTGTACTTAGGGGAAACAAGAGGAAATAGAGGGGAAAAAAAAGTAAAATGGTAGCCAATTTTGATTCAATGGTTTTTTCTAGAATTATATTTCAAGTGCAAAAAGATTGAAATTAGTTTACCATTGAAATAATTTAAAGATGTATAATGGATAGAGGGTGACAGAGGAGGTTTAAGATGCACGTTATTCGTTCATCGATCTTCCAACATTCTTGACGTGCCACACGTCTTTTGTGTATGTAGGTGAGTGACCTGAACCAATCAGAGAAAAAGGGGGTACCAAAAAGAAAGAAAGATAAAAAAAAAGTTGAACAAGAAGAGAAGCTAAAGAAGATTTCTTCTTCTTCTTCTTCTTTTGTTGGGTCACCCAAGCCGACTTCCATTGGTGGAATAGACGTGGCGTAAAGATCACAAGATATGCGATTTGTAATAGTGGATGACAGGTGGAGCGCATCTCTTTCTCGTTTGGTCAAGATTAAAGACCTTATCCGATAATCAGTTGTTATTTCAATGTGAATTGCACCAGATATCTCCAATGAATCAACCAATGTCATTTATATTTCAATATGAAGGAGGATTCGAATAATTTCAATGAAGAAATCAACTCTACAGGTCATTGATGCCGTTAATTATTGCTGATCAATCTAAATCTTGATTTATATATAAGATATCACTGAATCAGAATTCTTGGGGAAACTAAGAGTTTTGTCAAAAAATAACCTGGCGTGTAAATGTAAAATTAAAAAAAATAACAAGATCAAAGTATTAGAATTCTTGGGGAATCTAAAGGTTTTCTCAAAAAATAACCTGGCGTAATTGTAAATAAAAAAATTTTTAAAAATAACAAAATCAAGCATCAGAATGCTTGGGAAATCTAAAGGTTTTGTCAAAAAATAACCTGGCGTAATTGTAAATAAAAAAATTATTTAAAAAAAAATATAAATGCAGTACTATCAAATATTCTGTATTAAGTAATTATATTGAGTTTCAATGCTATTTGAAAATTTCAAAACTAAAGAATTGTTTTCAGTATAAAGAAATAAAGGATTTCCTTTATATGATCAGAGTGATTAATACATCACAGGTTGTGTTTCAGAATCAGTTGCGACTTTCAAGGCTCGTGCGTATGGACTTGGAACTGAATGATTCTAAGGCCCATGGGGTTGACAAATGACTAATGATCACAAGGCGACTGTGGGACTCTGGACATTAGTCAAGCTTACTCATATATATACATATAAGAACCAATGGTTTCTTCTATATCTCCCTTTCATCCTGTGTCTCAATTCTAGATTCTACAACATATATATATATTCATATGCGTGGTGTCGAGTAAACTCGTTTTTTTCAAGCATGAGGTATTGAAATGCTAAGCTGAGAAGGCGTTGGGTGCATTTTATAACTACAGTTATAAGTGTTATACCTTCGAAAAAGTAAATAGGTTACAAATTAAACATTAGTCAAATGTCTCTCGCTGCTCTTCATCTTTTTTTACGGTTCCGTTCACGCAGAGAACCGAAACGGAACCCTTATATTTAAATTCAAATAATCGTAAACGGAACCCTAGGTAAGCGAGTGTAACTCGTACTTAACCAATTTTTTTTATTTATTGATTAAATTCTATTAATTTACTTTTTGAATTTAATGATTCGAAGATTTTGGTCCTTTTTACAAATTGTAAAGGGTTTTGTCAAAAAATAACCTGGCGTAATAAATGAAGGAAAAAAATAAGAAAATTCTTATGCTCTTACCTTCTGGAAAATGCGGCCTCACAGTGCGAGCATCGATATCTCCTGTCGCCAGTGTGCAATTTAACATGACGATCACGACTTCGTTTGTGTTTAAATAATCTTGCGCACCAACTGCATCTGTATGGCATCTGATCACCATGACTCTGCAAAAAAAAAAAGAATTCCCAAAAATTTAATAATTAAGGATAATTTCTATTTCATTGAAATCCCACATTGACGCATTTAAAATGATCATTATATATATATGTGTCTGGAAATGTCGGACTTTTAAGTGATTACGCGACTACTATAAAGTAACATATATTTAATGACTTGGTTATTACTACACGACGATAAATCTTCTTCAAAATGTATAACACATTCGAAATTATACATAATTATACCACTTTATGATACATATTAGTGATGCTTCATAATTTTGTATAAACAAAGACATATTAGGCAAAATGATTTCTTGCTGTTTAGATGAATGTATTTAAAAATTCGAAATGAAATATAGTTATTTAAAAAATCAACAAAAGCTAACTTAAAAATATTGTGCGGCTTTTCAGTGTCACCCATCCAGATTGCTGATATGATATGGACCCATATGGTCGGAGCCTTTGTCCTCGACCACCGTGAGGACGTAAAACAGAAGTGGAGTTCAAAGTCAAGACGACAAAGTTACACCGAAGCACGTAGATCGGTAAGAAAGACATATACACTTGACCAGCAGCGGCTCTCTTTGTGAATAAGGATTATGGAATATGAAAACTTTTTTTTTTTTTTTTTGCAATACATGGAAATAGTCGAAAAAATATTTTACATTAAAATTCATTTGATGGAAATTCGTTTCGTTGGGAAATAATCATCGGAATTGAATAATAAAGTAAAATGTAGAAATTAAAAATTTCTAGTTAGACCTCGCATTGTTTTTAATTGTCCAGTTCTTGGTTTTTGAAAACAGGAATTTCTTGATACTTTGAGGGCAGCGCGTGGCCCCGAAAGAATTTTTTTTCCCCTACTCTGTTTTGCATGCTAAAAGGATTAGTTGCGCTTCCGCGTCGAGTTTAGGTCATCATTGGGTCAAAATCTGTAGCATCCTATATATATATATATGTATCGCATAACAGGTTGTGTCGCAACAACTTGTCCACCAGTTTTCTCCAGGTGCGTTAGATTTAACCTCACTCGTTGCGAGTGGAAAATAATATGATCATCAGAATATATAATTTACAAAAAAAGGGAAATTTTTTTTTTTTTCTAAAAAATAGAAAATTTACCTGTTCGTGTTTCTTGAGATAACTCAATCGTGGAAACATTCGATCACAAAATTGACAAGGATATGGTGCAGCTGGATTATTACCATCGACAGTTTGACTAATATCAGCTTCGACTTCCGGTTCAGAGGGGAAACTCGTGGAAGTTGGTGTCGCGCAAGAAGATGGCGTTTCTTCTCCTTTACGTGATGTTGGCCTTCCTTCTTCACTATGCCAAGACGAACTTCCAGTTCCAAGGGCCTCTGAAAAAAAATAAGTTTCCAAAATGTAAAAAAGAAAAAAAATTCTTATTTTTCTCTTAATATAAAATTTATTTTTTCCTAGTGTTGTTGGATTCTTATTTCAAAGAAGTTTTGATACATAAAAAGTATTAGTATCAATGAGATCAAGGTATTAAAATTCTTGGGGAATCTAAAGGTTTTTTCAAAAAATAATCTGGCGTAATTTTAAATAAATAATTATTAAAAAACAGATAATAAGATCAAGTATCAGAATGCTTGGGGAAACTAAGGGTTTTGTCAAAAAATAACCTGGCGTATAAATGAAAAATTAAAAAAAATAACAAGATCAACGTATTAGAATTCTTGAGGTATCTAAAGGTTTTGTTAAAAAATAACCTGGCGTATAAATAAAATATTTTAAAAAAATAACAAGATCAAGGTATTAGAATTCTTAGAGAATCTAAAGGTTTTGTCAAAAAATAACCTGGCGTAATTATGTAAATAAAAAAATTCATTATAAATATATATTTATTTTTTCATCGTTGTAGGATTCTTCTTTCAAATAATAATAAGTTTTGATACATAAAAAATATCAGTTAATTTTTTGCATGAAAAAAAAGGACATATTTATGTTACATAAGATTTGCAATTTTAAGATAATAAATTTAGAATATTTTATGCCTTAAGGTTAAATAGATTTTTGAAACAAGTTTATAAAAAAAAACTGACGCAAGAGAAATCCAGTTTTTCTTCAAAGTATAATTGACCTTATGAACTCAAAAAGAGAATACATATATGTATATATAGTTACTATAGCCTACCTCACCTTGCCCGTTATATCTTTATTGTTTTTGTAACGAGTGCATGGTGAAACTTGTACCATTAAACCAAGGATTTGTCATATGTAAGATGCTATATAGTATATATACTCTCGTCAAAAATAATTTTACAAAATATTATTCATTATTCATGATATATTTGACATTATAAAATCATAAACATTTTGGATTTTTAATAAAAAATATAATATTAAGATAATAAAAAATTCAAATCATCAATAATATATTAGTAATAATAACAATAATAATAGTAATAATAATAATAATAATAATAATAATAATAATAATAATAATAATGATAATAATTCATCGCTGATTAAGGAGACGAATTGCGCTTGAAATTACAATACTCGGAGCAGGAAGTTCTCGTTAGAATTAAATGTTCCATTATCAAAGAATTTTTAAGATCTAATGACATCTCTCAAGTGAAGATGTTATATATGTATAGCGTTCTGGGAAATACCGGATGTGAAACACACGTGGTTATATTGTACTTGAGGGCGAGTGAAATAGAATATATCGTTGCGCATCTCTTTCAAACATCAGTGGAAATGATTCGGCTAGTTGGTTATTTCCTCATTTGTTATAGCAACGAGTAAAAGACACCCACGAGTCAATTTAAGAGATTTTACGGAATCTTGTTCATATATATATATATACTAATATATATAAACGCATTTCACGACCACATATATCCGTTTATAAGCCACCCAAACCCGCAACGCAATGATCTACGACGAGGATCTTCAATGGGTCGCATCCTCCACCCACATTCATGTTTCACATTGTAAAAAATTAAATTTTTATATGTTTAATGTAATTTATTGTAAATTTTGTATTATAAACAAAAAGCAAACAGTTTGATTTCACTGTTTAGTATAGAATTTGTTCAATTTTTTGAATTTTTTAGCTTTAACCTGTATAATATTGGATTAACTTTAAAAGGATAAAATAAATATTAACTTTGCAACTATATATTAGACCTAGGTTATAACTATTTTGATTCTGAGTTAAACATTCATTGAAATTATTGCATTGAACACATTTTAAATCAATTTAAATTATTTTTAACCTACTTTGAACCTGCTTTGAACCTTCATTTAACATACGTTAAACCTACTTTGAACCTTTATTTAACATACGTTAAACCTACTTTGAACCTTCATTTAACATACGCGTTAAACCTACTTTGAACCTTCATTGAACATCAATTGAACCTACTTTGAACATACTTTGAACCTTCATTGAAACTTCATTGAACCTACATTTATACTACTTAGAACATACATTTGACCTGCTTTGAACCTACATTGAACCTAAATTAAACCTTCATTGGAGCTAAATTTTTACTGCTTTGAACCTACATTGAACCTAGATCAAACCTTCATTGGGCCAACATTTATACTACTTTGAACCTGCTTTGAATCTACTTTGAACCTTCTTTGGACCTACATTGAACCTACTTTGGGTATACATTTGGTGTACATTTAAGCTACTTTGAATCTACTTTTGGTCTACATTAAATCTACATTAAGCTTAGATAAAACTTTTTAAATTTTTTTTTTTACTTAATATGCATGTCAATTTATTTATTTTATCGAATAAAATAAATATTATATTGTATATATATATATACAAAAATGTTAGCTAATGAGCTGATTGGAAATTCTAACATTTGTTCACCCGTTTCGAATGCCACTGAATGAATCATTTCAAGTGGACCAAATTCGAAGAAGGGAGTCTCCGCGACCTATAATAAATATAAATACAGCTGTGGGCTATACGTGAAATTTAATTCCCTTCATTTAATTAAATACAAAATTAAATTTTCAAAATTGAAATTTAATAATTCTTTAATGCCTAATAAAAATTCGGCTTAATAGCAATTCTACTAAGTGAAAAATTATGCATGCGATTGGTACATATTTTTTTCTAAATGAAAGTTTTTGCTAGAGAAAAATTATCATTAATTAAAAATTCAGCTTAATAGAAATTCTGCTCAATGACAAAATATGCCTAGTAATAATTTTGCTCAATTAAAATTCAGCTTAATAGAAATTCTGCTCAATGACAAAATATGCCTAGTAATAATTTTGCTCAATTAAAATTCTGCTTAATAGGAATTCTATACTCAATGAAAATTATGCCTAATAAAAATTTAGCTCAATGAAAATTCGACTTAATGGGAAATTGGCCTAATATGAATTCTATACTCAATGAAAATTATGCCTAGTAAAAATTTATCTCAATGAAAATTCGGCTTAATAGCAAAATGGGTCAATGAAAAATTATGCCTAGTAAAAATTCTGCTCAATAAAAAATTGGCTTAATAGGAATTTTTGTTAAGTAAAATTCGGCCTAATAAGAATTCTATTAATAAAAATTCCTCTTAATAAGAATTCAGTAAAATGAAAATTCTGCTAAATGAAAACTCAACTTCATAAAAAAAATTTCTAAAAGAAAATTCGGCTTAATATGAATTCTATCAATGAAAATTCTTCTAAATAAAAATCCAACTTAATAAGAATTCTGTTAAATGAAAATACTATATATGCTAAATAAAAAGTTTTTCTATAGATAAAAATATAGTCTCATAAAAATTTGATTGCTTTGGAATTAAATGTATATATGTATATATGCAAAAAAAGGAATATTTGGAGCTATTGTAGAAAAAAAAGAATAGGAAAAAAGTATAAATAATGGAAGAAAGAGAGAAAGAGAGAGAGAGAGAAAGAAGCAAAAGAGAGATTGATGAGGCATGAAGAAGGAGTGCAAAGATCAGTATTCTCATTGTGGTTCGGATTTATTTAGCAACTGATTCTATCCAATCAAGGGGGAGATGTGTCATCGTGGCGAGAATAGGCGCACTTAACACACACTCTATGGCAATGCGCTTTTCTCGCGACCTGCCGATGCAAAGTCGCGACAAGAGATTGTGTTGTCACCTCATCCAATCTGCTATTTATAGTATATATATAATATACTTTTGAAATGCTTATTAATAGGGTTGATTTAACAACTTTGTTAATTGCGTTATACTTAAATCATAATAAAGCGAATTTTTTTAATTGATTACAATAATTAAATAATAATAATAATAATAAATAGCAGCTTACTGTTTTTTTTCAAATCTTTCAATAATTTTAATTTCAATGAAAAAATAAATTTTGAAATTTAAATATAAATGAAAATTAATTTGACTAATTTATTATTTTATCAATTTTTTCAGAATTAGGAAAATTGATATATATGCTATTAAAAATTGACTACTGGTCAATTACTGGTAAGTGCAGAGGGCACCTTTTGACAATTTTTGATAGTGTATATTTTTAAATTAATTTTGTATTTAGTAATTAAATTTCCTGTTTTTTTTTTGGAAACAAACCTTTTTCTTTAATGTTGCACTTATCGTCTCTAGATGGTGATTGTGGATCTTTGTGTGCTTGAATTTTTCCAATTAAAAGTTCCAATCTTGAACTATTTCCTTTGAATAGCATTTTAACACTAATTTCTCTTTTTTTTTGTTATCACAAAAATTAATTTCAATGTTTGTTTTTAATCGCACTCACTTTGTATTTTCTTTTCTTATCAGTTACAAATGATAATTGTCGAAAAAATAATTGTCAACATTATTTATGAATGTTTAAATATATATATTTGAATTTAAGGTGTAAATTAAAATTCACTAATTATTAAATTTTTTTTTAAATGATATATTGTTTAACACAAATGATAGAAAAATTTTAATTTAAATAGAAAAATATTTTTAAAAAATTGATTTAAAAAAAAAAAAAAAATCAGAAATGAAGTTTTGATGATGTGTTACGGAATGAAACGTGGGATGAACTGAGTAAGTTTTGTGGAGATACACACTCTAAAGCGTGCTGGTCTATAGGATAAACTAAAAGGGGGCCCCAAGTATAACCTATTATTGCAGTTGGTGAGTCCTCAAGAGTTGAGGTTCTTACATGCTAAAAGAGAAGGGACCTTTTGTGGAAAGGAAAAAGATAGGGAGTCCCTTGAGAAACAAGGCACCTCATTGGATGGTAGGCGTTTCTTGAATACACCCACTTTCTACACTCTTGCACCTATTAAACAATTCATCTACCTATGTATATGTATATATCTAATTCCTAGCTCTTGTGCTTGTTATCCTTATCCTTTTAGTATATACAATTTGAC